CCACAGTGTAATACACAGCCAAGACTTCACAACGCGTCTGCGCGTAACCCATCTCAGCCTTATTGAGTCGGCGAAAAATGCAAAAGACGGCGTTCTTCTTGTTCTAGTATAGCACCAATACCAATTAGATAAATCTCAGTAATAATAATAGGACGAATTTCAGGCGAAAAAGTCGGAGAACACAGTCTGACCAGGGAGAGCTTTCTAACTTTCGCAGCACTGTTTCATGCACACAAAATTTTTGCAGTCAAGTAAACGCAACAGAGAATTGGCCACAAAACCAAAATTTCGTTTGAATTTTAAGTAGTAGTTAAGGTTCCCATACAGCATTTTAGTTCATAAGCAGTTGTTGGTGATTTCGCATCAACCGATATCTGAGACGATCGGCATCAGGGGTAAATCCGGAGGATGTAATGTGATTACTGAGACAGCGTATTTCTTTAACACAGATTATACATTTTTTGGGATCCACATCTACATTGGCGAATTTAAATCCCTTCAACAGTGCTTGTAGACAAGAATCCTGCAAAAATTTGTCAGTACATCATTTTGGTAGACTTTAGCGCCTTCTAAACCTTCCATAAGGGAGTTCGTAACATTCTGAAAATGGTTAGCGATGCATGAAGGTCAAAAGGTAGCAACCGATAATGATACAAACCGAAAGGAGTATTAATGGTAGATGGTTCACTGGATGACTCACTAAGCGGAATCTGTAAATAGGGATCATTTAAGTCCAGTTTCGAGAAAACTCCAGAACAATGTAAGCGTGAAAGAATGGATTTAGGTTCCTCTATAATACAGTTATGCTGACACAGTCACGTATACAGAGTGCTCCGATAGTCACCCCAGACAATGGGTGTCTGATCATCTGACTTTTGTGGCATGCCAATGAGCATTGCCCATCGGGAGATGTCCACTGGTAGAAGTATTCCTTTCTCGCACAAAGTGTTTGAAACTTTCCGGACTGGCTCCCTTAGTCCATATTACAAAATGCGACGGTTATGAATTACAAACCACTCAAAAACCTCAAGATCTACTGGAGTATTCTTCATATCGCCAGATGCTATCGAGCAGTCATGAATCAAATAAGGAATTTGAACCTCCGTATCTGTACTCGACAAAATAATTAACATAATTTGAGTGAATGCATACTTTTCAACCCAAGAATAGATGCTCCTCGACTTGTTACGACAAAATTACTATCGACAACATTCCTGCCTATCTCTAAGACTTGCGAAGTGCAGTATAACAAGTAATACATTGGATGGTAATAGAAGTTGTATGTAACTTCACAACAACACAAAGACTCTGAAGACTTAGTTTATCGACAAGTGATTCCACGCTACCTGTGTCAACAATGAACTCACATGATTTTAGGCGCGCCCTCATTCTCGGTGTCTGTGTCCCAGTCGGTTTCACCTGCCTGTACTGGGGCTCAGTGATGTATCCGTGTAGCAAAAGGATCTGGAGTTTTTTGGCAACATGCTTCTCCACCGACTTGTTATTCTCCGGTGTCGCGTCTATCAGGAACTTACATCTGTCCCCCAAAATAGACTCCATTTTTGAAACGTAATCATCCTTGTTTATTGTTACAATGCCTGATCCTTTATATTACTGCAGGGAGATTACGTGTGCCATTTCTTTTAACTCTCTGATCGCGGCATAGTGTTCAGCCTTCTGGCAATATCTCTGGCTTATTGACGTACTAAGGAATTGGTTCGCGAGATCCACCAATTTCGCCCGAGACAAGCCCACATCTTCTATGGATCTTGGCGATAGATCACTGAGCTGGTCATACAGTTCCTGATAGACGCTATACCGCAGAATAAGATCGTGGTGGAGAAGTAAGCGGCCAGAAAACTCCAGATCCTTTTACTACACGGATACCTCACTGAGTCGCAGTACAGGTAGCTGAAGCCGACTAGGACGCATACACCGAGAATGAGGGACGGGCCTAAGTTACACAAGCCAGGTAGCCCACTGCGTCCGATTACGTGTATGAACAACTCGCCTTATCACATGTTTTTTTGTTTCCAAAACGACGACTGTTGTACAAAAGGCCATTACCATTAACAGTTAACGTTAGTGGATCGACATCCTCGTGTAGCTTCATCAGGCTGTCCACAGGTGAGGTCACCACTTTACATAGTTTCACAAGCCAACAGGCATTGCGAGTGTGCAACTTTATCACATTGAAAATATTTTGAATCTCGATGACAACAAGTGTAACGAATAGGTAACTTTTCACATGAGGCTACCGACCCAACCGTTTAGAGACTTTACCAAAATTAGTGGACTTCTGGCAATTTCGCCAGCTGACTTTGACCATTTTTCTTGCCACCATTTTGTTGGCTAGTGAAAGAACTCTTTTGGCAGCACCAAACAGGATTTGCTGGTCAGAAGGGTTTCGTACTTCAGAATTTCGCAAACCTATTAAAACTTCTCACAAAGCAGTTTAACTTCCTTGCATGTTAAGTCCGGAATTGAAATCAACTGACGACACAGAGTTGATATATTAATTCCGACAATTAAACCACCTCTGAAGTATCCAGTTTATCAAGGAATGATCAGAGAGGTTTAAGTAGGCAGTTGCAAAACAAAATAACAAACGGACTAATTTTGCTGCTATTGTAGGACGTTACACTTGGCTCTTTCTGCAACTACGAAATTGTTTGGTAACAAATGACTAAGTAATAGGGTTCTCAACTGCTCGTATGAAAATTTCCATGGTATCTTAGGAATTGGAAAATTCTTCAGGATTGAATAAGCGCTATAACCAATGGTAGTCAGAAAGCGCGCACTTTGCAATTCTTCTTGTAAACCAGGCTTGGTAGGCAACCAAGACTCAAACCGCTCGAGTTACTGCATATTTTCCTGTGGGAAAGCATTTACGTCCAGAATTTCGATATTTGGATTTATCAGGAAGTTCAAAGTGACCACGACGCCAACTGTAGTACTTATAGAATTTGGAATAAAGCCAAGCTAGCTGCAAAACAGAGGGCGAAAAACCGAGTTGTAATTTCGAAGTATGCGTTCAATATCATTCAATATCATAAGTAATACAATATGCGAAATCTCAAGTAGGACAATATTCACGATTACCACGGCATGACAGTTCAACTGTGTGAGCATATGTCGAATGTTTAGGCATGTAGTTCACACGAGATAAGACAGGCGAGGGAACAAATGCAGCCGCATAATGCTCCTGATCGATTGTGGAAAGTGGCGGTGGATGTACACTGTGGTAGCGAGAAAGACTGCTTAGTCACGGTGGATTACGATTGTGCTTATTTTTAATTTATGTACTTAAACTACGGCCACAAATCTGTGGTCGCTGTGTACGGAATACCGAAGGAGCTGGTCTCCGAACATGCTCCCCAGTGTACCAGGTCAACGTTGCATTCCTTTGCAATCAAACGGAAACGCATTCACCAGCAAACTAGCACATACTACAACCAGTTAAATGAAAAGACGGAGTGGGTAATACTCAGGTCAAGCAACCGTTATTCAAGGCTAGAGATATTGACGAAAACCCTTACTTCATGCCACTGGCGAAAACTAAAACAGATAATGCGAAAATGACACGAAGTGGTAAGTTGTACGGGATGTGTAGGGAGACGGAAAGCAATGATAACCCGAAGGATCGGAGGATCACAAAAACGTGAACGAGTGGATTCAGGAACAGGCGCAAGCAACGAAACAAAACAGAGCAACAGGGACATGATAGAAAGAGCCGAGATCGGGTCACGAACGGCGAACGAAAACGAGGTTGAATCAAGGAGAATGGAGAAGGGATTTGTTAAGAGTACAATAAAACAGACAACTATGTCGGTATTCGAGTCTTCAGGACTGACCCCAAGCAGAGTGATGCTGCCACAACTAAGCAACTCGCCAACTATCGAACGAACCCTGGCCGACCAGAATGGCAGGGACAGAAGCGGCGATAAGGGGTGGACATGCTAAAATCATCAGTCGTCACAGACGAGGTAGGTGCATCGATGTGCCGCAAGCCGACTTTAGACAATGGTGTGCCGTGGGACGGAAACATGACTAATACCCGATCGCCTGCGTGAGAGGTCCGATTGACTGTTGCCGCGTCAATAAACATTGTGGTTCATTATCACGTAGTTCTGCCACATGGGTTACTTGGAAACATGGAGGAGCAAACAGACATAAAAAGGAAGGATTTGATGGGAGTGTTCTAACGGAATCGAAAATTACAAGCCTATGATCTCTGAGACCGCTAGGTGACTGCTCGAGGCGTTGATCTAATACCACTATTAGGTGCGTAAGTCGTACGTCGCAGCAGCCAGACACGATGACACAGTAATTCTAGCAAGCGTTTAACGCAACGGACTCTAGCGATTCGGGGAACTCGTTAAACTGCTACAGAATTTACAGCCTCGATTAAAAACCTCGCAGACAGGGGTATGGCTACTTGTGACATTTTCTATCATACTTGTATGGCACCAGGTTAGATTACAACGGCGCAATGGTAATATTTGATCTAATGGGAATGTTTTGATTAGCCCACCGCATATAACTCATGTTCTTCTGTTCAGCATGTGCGCATTGTTGCTGTCCACATTAATCTTGAAACTAATAAGTTGGCAAATTGGCGCGAAAGGTACAAGGCATGTACGTGTTTACACTGGTAATTCTAATGAGGATTCCTTCGAAGCTAACCTTGCGTATTTTTGGCGTTTTTCCATCTGCGCTGTCTCCGCTCACCCTGGTAATATGGGCCAGAGAAACTTGGTCAGCGCCATGATCGATTCACCATGGTATGCCCCGTGCTACCACAGCACAGAGGTTTAAACTGTTGCCACCCAATAAGACGCATTTTTGAATGGCGAAACCTAGCTCTCAGCAAACCGATGGAATGCGCACGCTATTTTTGGCTGTGTGTTCAGACCTCAAGGTCGTCAGAAGTGGATGAGTAAAACCAAGCAATCGCTTGAGTCCAACAGACGAGATACTATCGGTTTTAGTGTATACAGAGACGGAATCATCGAGTTAACAACGACCACGATGTAAGTTTCTGATGATGGGTGGTCCCATTTTGATGATAAATAGAATCGATTACTTGTCCCTGTTTCTAACCGCATGCTAAAGAAACCAGACTAGATAGATTTCCAATGTAAATATCTCCTTTTAGAACTCAATAGGACGGTGTAAATGAGTTTACTTATAAACATCTAACCTACAGCGGTTTGTATGCGTCAACTAGCTAGACGTTTTGGCAAGCAAGACCAACTAGGGCGCTGAACCCGTCGGTTGTCACCCACAATTACAGGTGTGCATATGCTTGATTTAAAGAGTTATGCTTCACCTTTCGTATCTAACCACATAAAAAATTCGCTACTTTAGGCGAACTTAACTGCACCCTCTTCAAAATAGCGTCTTTGCAATTGAAATGTCAAAATACCGCACGCTGATATTCATTGTACAACCTGTATGAAGGTTGAACCTACAGGATCCTTTCTTAACAACGCATTTTTCCTGAATTTTCACACAACCGTGCCGGTGTAATTTGTAAGAAGCAATCATTCGCATCATGTATCGGATTCACTTTGTTCTGAACAAATTCATAGCCGTCAGTTTGCACCAATTGGTAGAAAATATCATTGATGGCAGATCAAAACCTCAAACTATTTTATGCACTTAAAGAAGCAGGTGCCATGGCGAATGTGAACCAACTGCAAGCGAAGAAAATTAAATATTTAAAACTTCTCTCTCAATGGATATGAGAGCAATTGAATAATAATTTAGTTCCTTCTAATTGCGGTTTTATATACAAACCAGAAAATGTACCTCTAAAGTAACAAGAACATATAGTTCCATATTGGAGCTTTAAGCTCCACGCATGGATAATATTCTCAGAACTACCTAAGAGAATTTATTTGATAAATTAGTGCAGCTCTTTCAATCGTTATCACGCATTTTGCCAATTATGAAAACCTACTCACCTGCCAAATTATGGTGCTGACTATTGGGTATGGTATAGCCTGAGTTGGCACTTCACTTATGAATTGTTCATTATCCTCTATAGCTTGGTTATCTTCTACTCTCACTTCTTTGACTGTGGTTTAATTTCCCTTTTTTATATACCCTCTTACTTTTGAAGTCTCTTTGTTTTCTCGTTGCTATTGCCTGAATGATGTGCCGCGGACACAGTGTGGGCACTGGCAGGATCGTAGGTAGGGTGAGGTACAACCATATCGTTAGCCCGATCAGTGTATTGACGCCCACTCGGAATCAGCCGCATACCTTGTCAGATGTTGGCTGAACCACTGCAACACACGTCATGGTCCCCACGTGTTGAGGCATCGGGAACGCAAACAAATACAGATTAAACTAGCTGAATCTAATAGCAAAGTGAGAAGTCGGTCGAAAGTGGACAGCGTATGGTGACTAAGGGTGTCCATTTGTTGTCTCAAGCAGTGGCTAAGTCACATATTATTTATCAGTTGAAATGCACACCAACATTTTATCAAGTGAACGCAGCTCGGTGTCCTACAAGCGTCTGCTCATTTTCCCCACCAAGGCTGATTACTTCTGGTGGAGTATTACACCCATACTGCCAGACACGTGTACCGTCTCTTGATGATAAAGGTTACTGGTCGGCCACAGGAACAATATGTAAATGATACCCTATTGATTAGTCCTGCGTTTGTAGTCGATTATTTCTAGGCATAAGTTCTCTTATATGTCTGGCCAACTCTGTAAAATACCCGTGCTTATTTGGTTCAAGTTTTCTAATTAATGATAAGATTTAAGTTGGCTTTTACATTTGTGTGCTTCTAATTTAATAAATACAAGGAAAGCGCAATGGAACGAGATATATGTACGTTGTCCGCCTAGTCCCTAGGCTGTAACAGTCGACAATAAGTTAACCTGCATAATCCCAGTCATACGCTTTGGTCTCCAACTCGCCTGATGTCTGGAGCTCGGCGACACCGTGAATAAGGATAGAGTTTACGTCTTGTTGTTTACGGAAGTCATCCGAATTTTGTTTGCGTTTCTCTCGTTAGCTCCAAGGAACATTTGGAAAATTTCGAACGGTGCATGTGGTGGTGCGAAGGCGATTGAGTGACAAAAGAACTGCCTCTGCATCATTACCTGACTGAAGTGTTACCTGGAGTAACCGCGGTTCACCGTAGTGTACGGAGTCTGGGTGGCGGACGAGACACATCATATTTACTGTTTTAGCTTGAACCCCTATTAGTTGACACGGGAGTTCCACTGTTTTTGTCGTCCGGTATCTTATCTTTTGTTGTGTTCGCCTGGGATTCAGTCACATTAGAGAATATAACAGTCAGAGAATGCTGGTAGTGTTTCATGTTCTCCTTTTTGGAGGGACCAGTGGCTGCTTCCTTCGGTTGAACAAATGATGGGGTCTTGAGCCCTGTGCTGATATTGGTACTAGTAACTCGTTTTGCAGCAGGCGGGGTTACGACGGGTTCTGTCTCCGTCATATGGGTAACAACGACGGACGCATATGTTGTCGGGCATTTAACAGTATCTTCGACAGTGTTCAGTGGACGGTTACTCAGCCCAGCTGCCACCGTGCTTTGATACGCAATCAGAACACCTAGCTTCGCCAGCTGGCTGGAGTCAATGCGCTCAGAGTGACGTTGCGGACGTCCGTCGAAACGTGTCCGCAGATCAGCACACACAAGAGCGTGATCGGAGTCCACAGTGGTGCTCCAAAACGAGTGACAGTTTTGGACACAACCTCTCCAACGGTAACTATTCGCGATGTGATCGATTTACGTCCATGGCTGGCCCGAGGCTGGTGGGCGCCAAGTCACTCTTCTTTGGGTGCTATGTCGAAAGTTAGTGCTCGCGAGAAAGAGACGAGCATCTTCACACAACTGTAGCAATCGCTCACCGTTATCATTACGGGAGCCTACACCATGTTGGCCGCCCAGATCGAGCTCGAGGACAATTTTCCGACTCACTTTAAGATTATAAGCAAGCACCACACTATCCGTAGTATTTCTCTAACGGAGAAGATCGTTAAGTTGATGATAGAAATCACATTTCACCTAATCAGGGCTGTATTTTGTAGGGGTGTAAGCCACAATGACAAACAGGCACCGATTTTCCCCGCGCGACTTCAAAGCCTGGAACTAGCCAACCAACCTAACGGCGCGCATTCGGCCATTGACAGGGATCCAGTCGATCAGGCAGCTTCAGCTCGTGGATTCAAAATAATGCCGACGCCAGCTTGAATTGCATTTGAAGCTGCGTCATCGCCAGACAGGCACAATGAGAATGTGCCGCCAGTGTCGTATGTGCGGGATCGCAGAGTAAGCAAGAAGCACGAACCTTGCAGGCGGGTTTCTGATAAACATCAAATATCGATCGATAGGCTCTCTAGTGTGCGGATAAGTGCTACCTGTTGGCCAATCTGCAGCAAAGTGCTCAGGTTGAGGCGAGGACCGAAGACTCCAAAGGAAAACGGATGAACTGACGTTGTCCGCCCAGTTGAACATAGACTTGTGGACTGGATTGGAACGGCATTCTTCGATTGCATGTGAGCTGAAACAGAAGACGAGCGGCTATTCAAGCAAGGTGGACGAGGGCCAAGAATTGCGGGATTGAAAGCGGCGGGATGAAAGTGAAGTTGGAACGGGACCCTAAGGATGAACAAGCGCAAGAGAAGGAATATGAAGGCGTGAAGTCCTGAGCAATAGCATTCAAACCCCTATTCACCCTGCTCGATGAAGCAGATAGGGCACCGTTGATTAGCCTCTGCGACGGTCATAGAATCAAAAAGTTGTTAGGAGAATGGTTCATTGTATTGCGGGGGAGGAATACTGTCAGGTTGCCCATGCCTAGACAGGAGAAGGATTAGGGTTCGAAACCAAAGTCAATGGTTCAAAAATGTTACCGCAAGGCAGCGGGGTTTTGGCACTGGACTACAGAGAGCCCATTTTATGGAACAAGTAGCAACCCTCACTCCAACCCCCACCTGGAGGACCAGGAGGCTGAGTTTGTCTGGCTTCTAACAGTTGACCAATCTGGTATGAGCGGTACTGAAGGTGCAAAAAGAAGCACCACCCAGCATAGCTCAATGGATATCCATGGCACGCAAACCATCGCACTAAGTTAGGATCCAGTCTCATCGTGATGGTTTTAACTACGTTATGTACGGTACAGAAAACCGTCAAATCCGCTGCTTGTTCCAACTTGTCCTATGTGCTCTCATTGATTTGTTATGGTACAATTCGGGTAACATCGTGTACTGTTTTTTCATAGGACTCTGGCCTTTACAGGCCTATTTGATTTCATTCGTCTCATCGGATTTTAAGGAAACTCCGAAAAAATTAACAATTAAACTCAGACAGTTTTGGGTTAGATTACAGGATAATGTTTCATGCGGTCAAGAATCGTGTGCGTTTCTGCGCAACCGTTGATAACAGAAATCAACTGGTGTAACTGAATGCTTGTGTTAATAAGAAAACAGCACATCGCTGAAATGTTCCTGAGTTTCATATGCGACTCACGCAGTAAGCCAGTCGGTTAAGTCATAAAATTCCAGATAACTAAGGCAATTTTGAGTGTGACGTTGTTTTGGTCAAGCTAAATTATTTTATCTACACCACCGGCAGTCTGGTCCACAAAGAAAGTAACAAGGAGACGGTGCATTAGCGAAATGGCATGTGTTTTCTCACCAAACAAACAGCGAAGGCTAAATATTGTGATATAACATATTTTTGATTTTACTAATCTATGCTTTCTTTTCACTTCTCATTTTGGTTCTGTCATAAAACTCGGTCCCTTACGGACTAACGGCTTATTCAGCAAAGCGAGCTCAACAAAAATGACAGCTTGACAACATGCAGGAACCACGATATAAACAACTAAGTCATTGTCATGACTAACGACGCTGCTGCATTCATGAGATTCATCCTCTGCATCAGTCACACAAACCAGCTCCAGCGAACCAATCAGCGCATATGCGCAGGCTTCCAGTCAACTGTTCTGTTTGCTTGTGGCAGACTTGCTTACACAATCTTAGCAT